CCATCAGGTTACTGATCCATATTGAATCAACTTACTAGAACAATTGCAGGTATAGGCTGAACTTTATTTAAACTTAATTCTTGTGGTATATGATATTACATGCAAAATCTAAACCTATAAGTCAAATCTGACCTACTATTTGGCTGCGGCCCCATACAATGGGAAAAAATGGTGCTACGCTTTAATTCCATTATTCAAAATGAAAGGTTCCCTGAAGCATAAAGCCCTCTGACTTGGTTCTGGCGCTGTTGCTGTAGTGTAGGCCACTGGCAAGACATACTGGCTGAAAGCAGGCTGAGTGGACGGCCATATGAACCTCCACAGTGAGAGCTCACTTACATAATGCTGCTTTTGGCTTCAACGGTAGCAAAGTGTGGGCGAATCTACTCACGGAGAGCAGTCTGCGATGCTCATTGGTGGGGAGTTTCAAGTGATTCTGATATCACTGTAACCATCAGAAAGAAAGTCAGGGCAGTGTTATGTCTGATGCAATTTATCTGGTGGAGATGTTGTGGATCCAATACCTAATATCGGTGTCGGGCCGATACTAGCAGCAAACACTGAATCAGATATTGGAGTAAAGAAAAAAACAAATCCAAGTCTTTAACAAACTTATCCTGAGATGTCATAAAATGAAAGTATAGTAAAGTAGGTCAGATGATATGTAGCCATTGTAGCCATATCATTATCCTAAGAACAAGTAGCTAATTAAATAGTCTAATTTTGCACACATTTCAATTGTAAGTGATTAATATTGTTGGCTATACTTGTCTTCTTATAGGGTAGTAAGTACTTGCTTGATCATTTTAGCATGGTACTTAGGCAAAGTGCTTTAGTTAGCCTAAATATAGCTCATTTTGAAGTTTTCAGAAAAAATATCATATTGGTGTTAATATTCAAGGTTTTAATATCAAATCAGAAAAAAAGTGATACTGTGCCATCTCTGCTAGCCTATCTGGCCAAACAAGGCTAACATGCCAGTGGCCTCTCCTGCCACGCAACCTTCAGCATTCAGAGCAGCAGGTTTTAACACAGCGTTCAATTTAGCCTGCAGTAGAATCCTGTCATTTAGATAATTAGCCATGTTTCTGGAACATCCCACAACCGTAAAAGGCTGCTAAAGGTTTTGTTGCTGCAGCTACAGTCCAACACTCACGTTCCCAAGCAATAACACAACCTTTAACTTATTGCACATACAAAGCGATATGCTTCAGTCTTGGACGAGTATTTAACTGATGGACCGAACAGCATCCAAACTGCATCTGGTAAGACTATCGCCTGATGTTTTAGCTATTTCTATAATTAGTCGTGTTTTTTCTGGCCTGCTGCTACTTTTTAGTCCTTGTGCAGTTATACATCAACAGTAGAGCATGCTAGCAAAAGCAAAGGCTGCATTGCAAAGGTGGTCCTGGCTGTCTCAAGCATGCATGCACCCTAATACATCTGACTAACATACATGTTCTAAAGGGAATTACAACACTTAGTCTGCACATATTACAGACATAATACTGTATGGTAGCTACACTCTGTGGCTATTACTAAACCTAAAAGAAGATCTTATCAGTAAGTACTAACATGTTAGCTTATAGCTACAGTGTTAGTTTAGGGCTAACATATTAGCTTGTGGCCGAAGCTTTAGATCTAGACTCTCTAAAGCACAGCTTTTGTTTCAATTTTTGGAATTCCACCATGTTAAATGCTCTATTCAACTGAAAACGGGAAGCATTAACATTAAAAAAACATAAGGCACATTTTCAGCCACTCCATATTTTTGCTTTATCAAAAAGTACCATCTGTATACCGTATCAAATCAGATTCTTAAATGTGTGTTTTGTTGCACCCTTACATACAAAATACAAGAAGTATCCATATAACAGACATAAGCAGAATAATCATGTTTGCTGGATGGCCTATGAGGGCCAGCAGCTCCCTTGGTGTGAGGAGCGTGATCTTAGTCATGCATTATACTGTGGTCTTCTCATGTTCTGCTTCTGGGCTACCAGCTCACTGAAGGTTTTATTATGACAGATGTTGGGGTGGGGGGTGGAGGGCACAGTGTGAGAGTGGAAAAGGATTGAGGGAAAAGGAGAGAGAGAAAAAAGAAAACAGACGGGACAAGGAATAGAGGGTAGAGAGAAGTCAGGGTTTTATATAGATGATCCTTTTGTTCTGTAAACACAGAAAACCAACACACAGGAAATTCTGGCAGCTGTTTGTTTCTCCACTCCCACTGCCTCAGCGAATGAGTGCTGATCAAGAATCAGCTTTCACTACATGACTCAGTTAACAATGATAAAAAAAGAGGCGCTGGTCCAGAGCTTCTGGATCGGGATATGGCCTCAGGTCTAACTCCCATGGTTTCCAATCACCGTCAGTCCACATAATGGAAATACAACAAAGGGCCTCACTGTCCTCTGATTTAACATGATCATCAGGCCTAACCTGGACATTAGGGTTGTGGTGATTTGAATCAGGACCTGCCAGTGAGCAATTTTTTTTTAGTGGTCATTTTTTTAAGTTAACTATCTATCAATACTGTGACAATGCATGTCATTTTTTGAAGGGACATATCAGTATTGATGGGCATATCAGCTTAAAATGCTGAATCAGATATCGGAGTGGAAAATATCTTATCTAATCCAGTATATGACGTAAAGTGTTTGAGTAGTTATATATTAGTTATATATTAGTTATATATAGTTATATATTATACACTACTCCTCTATACTCAATTTATAAAAATAACACTGTCGTTTTTAACACCTTAGCATTCCAGGCTTATTACATAGTAAGGGTTATTATTCATTAACTACATTAACTAATGGAGCTTTTCTTTGGTTATGGAAGTGTGTAATAAAACTTTGGGCAGGCTCGCAGCTTGGTAAGGGGTGAGAGAAACAATATTAGCTGATCCTCACAGGTATCGAAAAAGAAAAAATGGTATTAAGCCATCTCTAGCTCTGAGATTCAAATAGCTTAAAGAGAACAGTTCAGAATACATTAAACTATACGAACTGTAAGTTTCCTGATTGGAAATGTGGCTTCTGACTGGTTAGAGTTTACAGTAAGTTTAAGGTTATCTTTGGTGTTATTACAAAAGAAGCACAGCAAGTACCACATTTAGCAAAAGGCCATGCCTTACTTACCTTTATAAATTCAAACTTAAATATAATCTAATAACATGCTGTGAAATATAAGGAAAATAATGATATTGAACATTATGAATACCACTCAGATCTACCTGATTTTCAGGTTGAATGTAGTTGTTCTTTGCAAACCGACAACCTTAAATGTCCTCTTTATTTCTCAAAAACAGTCTCTCTGTCTACCTCTGAAGACATATACACTCATTTATAATGTCTATTTCCAGTGCTTTTGTACCGCTACCTTTGTGCAGACTCCTTCAGGCTGCTTTGACTGGCAAACGCGTCGAGAAAAGTGACGTTAGCTTTGAAGCCTGAGGAAGCAGTGCTGCTTAAAGAAACGGGAAACTTGAAAAGATTCTGTGAACACGCTCTGTGAAGTATTTTCTGTCAGGTTTTAAGTTTTTTGTGCGTGTTTCCACAGATATGTGCCTAAGATAGAGCCGTGACAGCTGTTGCCACAAAGGTGTAAAAACCGTCTGGGCTGTCTCGTGGATTTCCGTGAGGGAAACTAACATCAAGCAAAGCTGTAAAATTGAAACAAAACACAACGACTGCAGCTTGGCATCGTGTAAGTTACTACAGTTAAACAGAAGTTTAGGTAGGATCTGCTTCTGAGACATGAAAAAAGTGGAAAGGAAGCATGAAATATGGCCACGACTCTGAAAACAAACTCTCTCACCAGCATCTCTGTTGGGATCACCAGTGTTGGGATTTTGCTAAGACGAGCCAACGGTCGCATAAGCAGAGCTGGGCAATATGATGGTATTTATCGTTATCGTGATAAATTACATATTATATATAAAATGGACATCGTCAGTACTTAAAATCACTTTAAACCTGCATATTTGATTAAAAGGATATGTCATGTTTAATAGGATTTAGTGCAGCACAGTGTGTGAAATGTTGAATTGGATTCATAGTTTTTGATAGTACTTTTAAAATGTGGCACTGCTTGTCTGTTTTAACTTATTACATGTTGGAAAAAATCAATGTGTATCATAAAAAACTTTCTAAAGAATCACAATAGCACATTTTGCAGTATTAACCACCTCTAAGCATTTGGTGCTGTTTTTAGTGCTTCTAGATTATTCAGGTTATTTGGGACTAGATTGGGTTTTGTAACCATAGTTTATTGGACCTATTTTATATTGATATGCCCTCAAAATCAGTAGCCAAATTATACGAACTTCATGTAATTGTGCCACACATTTGCATTCAATATACAGAGATTATGTGACTTTAACTTTAACGATGGAACAAAACTACAGCATTTCAGTGCAATTTCACTGAATGGAGCTTCGGGACTGAAACACCTTCCATTCATTGAAATGTACTTTAATTCATGCTTGTCCACTTCACGGAAATCAGTTACGTAAAAACAACACAACTATTTAAGATTTCTTTTATCAAGCAACACTTTTTTGAATGTGTGCATGGACACAGATGAGAAGAGACACATGCAAGACTAACAAAAATTACAGTGGCCTATTAAGATCGTGCTCTACACGTTAACACTGCTGCGTTGTCTATCACTTTGTAATCGCGTTGGCACCACTGCATGCGAAGCCGTCGTGTCAATAAAGCCCATTAAAGTGAAAAAATCTTACACCTCCCCTCCCCATCCCCCCTCTCCCTCCACATCTGGTTCCACTCAAACTTTGGACTTTTCTTTAGCATTCCGGAGCATCGCTGAAGCCTCTTTGCCAGCACAACCAAGTCAAAGCAGCGTCCTAAAAGCACAAAACCAAACTCGAGCCGTACATCGGCTCTTCACGCACCTCTGTGGCCGCGCATTAATGTGTATGTGAGGGAGGAAAACAAAGTTGCAGAGTCTTTGTGAAGCGGGTTTCTTACCTGTGAGCGCGACCATCGGGTGCAGACTTAGGAGCGATAAATATAAAGTGCATCTACAAAAGTGAAGAAGGTTTTTCCATGAGGGTCCGGGCTTCTCCCGGCGATGCATGGCTGCAGCGAGCGCCGAAAAGCAAGACTGAAGAGTGGAGAGAGAGAGAGGGAGAGAGAGACACACAGAGAGAGAGAGAGACACAGAGAGAGAGAGAGAGTGTTAAGTGTCCGGAGAGGGGAGAATGGTGTGCGCGAGCCCGCGCGCGCGCGTTCAAGTAGGTTTTTATTCCTGAACCCGTTCAGTTCCAACCAGAAGTCGCACCGTGAGGAGTTCACCATAAGTTTATCTGAAGCTATAGCGCCGGTTTACAAACCAAATGTGAACACTGTATGAGCTTCAGAGGAAAGAGAGAGAGAGAGCGAGAGAGAGAGAGAGATGTGAAGCTGTAGCTGAATTAGCCTCAGCAGCAGCTGCACTTCGGTTAGCCTACTTTAGCTTCCCCTCTGCCCACGTCACCACAACGGGCTGCACACTGTGGGCACCAAATTACTGAAATAACACCTCAAACACTCTTTACACGACATCATCCTACAATTGTGCCAGCATAAATGAGGTCTAGTTAACATCTTGAGGTTGAATGAGCATCTGAAATACACTGTCATCGCCAAAACACGCAGAGAGGTTTGTGTTCCCCACTTTGGGGGGTATTTTCACTGCCTTCTGTACAGATGTAGCCTAAATACATTCTCAAGTAAAAGTGATTACTTCTGTCAAAAACGTAGACGTAAAACCTCTTACAAAGACATTTAGAAAATAGGGGAAATTAGAGAATTACGAAAGTAGCTGGTAAGGAAATGTCTGACTTCTGAATTCTTAGTCACATCCAGCATCAGCTTAGCTGGTTTGTTATGCTCTGTTCTTCTCCTTTTGACTTAAAAACAAATGCTAAAGCTCCACAGTGAAGCTGTCCAGGAGCTCAATCGACAGAACTCAACTTAAAAAGAAAAGAATTAGCTAAATCTATCTGAGTGAAAAGCAAATCACTTTCATTACAAATATAGACTACTTATGCACCTACTGGGGCCTTGCTAACCAGGCTAGCCAACAGTAGCAGACGTGTCATTCAGTGCTATTTTCTAGATCATTCAGATCTAGATTCGGATTTCTAAATCATCCAGATTATTTAGCTTTTGTCACCATAATGGAGTATATCTATTTTCTATGTATTGCTATGCCCTCAAAATTAGTGAAACTCATTTAATTATGCCACACATTTCCATCCATAATACAGACTAATACATCTGGTCTAAATCCTTCTACTTTTGGTTTAAAAATAAATGCTACAGCTCCAGAGTGAGAGCTGTGAGCAACAGCAAAGCTGTCCAGAAGCTCATTTGACAGAACTCAACTTAAAAAGAAAAGAATGAACAAAATCTGAGTAAAAAGCAAATCACTTTCCTTACAAATATACTTTTATAACTTTTATAGTATTTATAAAATACTCAGAAAGTACAAATCAATCAGAAATTCTTGACTAACTAAAATGTATAACTGACAAAATGTAAACACAATGAGGTCTAGTTAACATCTTGAGGTTGAATGAGCATCTGAAATACACTGTCATCGCCAAAACACGCAGAGAGGTTTGTGTTCCCCACTTTGGGGGGTATTTTCACTGCCTTTTGTACAGATGTAGCCTAAATACATTCTCAAGTAAAAGTGATTATTTCTGTCAAAAACGTAGACGTAAAACCTCTTACAAAGACATTTAGAAAATAGGGGAAATTAGAGAATTACGAAAGTAGCTGGTAAGGAAATGTCTGACTTCTGAGTTCTTAGTCACATCCAGCATCAGCTTAGCTGGTTTGTTATGCTCTGTTCTGCAAAGCTGTCCAGAAGCTCATTTGACAGAACTCAACTTGAAAAGAAAAGAAAGAACAAAATCTAACGAGTAAAAAGCAAATCACTTTCCTTACAAATATACTTTTATAACTTTTATAGTATTTATAAAATACTCAGAAAGTACAAATCAATCAGAAATTCTTGACTAACTAAAACGTATAACTGACAAAATATAAACACTTACTACTCATTTCTTCTGTACTCCTATATCTAAATCCTGCTGGGCATTACCTAAGCCAGGTCTAGCTTTACCTCAGGAACCGAAAGGTAAGTTTCCTGATTTTTTTTTTTCCCCCAAATAATAAAAAAGAAAGAAAAATAACTGCCAGACTTCCCCACCTATGAAACAAAACATCATCATTATAAGCTCAAGAACGACCTGTTGCTCAAAATGTTGACAAATTATAAACCCCAGTTACTTAATAACTGGTACACTTAACAGCTCTTAAACAGGGGACAAATTAATGTAGACCAAATCAGCTCCATTATTTATCCCCAGTAAAAAAAAAAAGCATACAAATTCTAGTAGCTCTTCAAGGTTGGGTCTGATTCTGAATACTGTGGTTCTGCTCAGTCCAAACTGTCTGTTTTTAATTCAATAGAAAATGATAGGGATTTAAAGGTTTTACAACCCATTTCAAACCACACACACTCCAAGACCATCATAAGCCACCGACCATCGGTCTAAATTACGGCAGCTGTTTGAACATTTAAATGTTTTTCTTTGTGTGTGTAATTTTTTACGCAAACAGCACATACGATTTAGTGATTAAACATGGGACGGGCATACATTCTGAGGCCGTGGCTGAAAACTGAGAATGCTGTATGCTGGAGGAAAGTAGTGAGATATTCTAAATATGTTCTGACGTTCGTTTGTTGACTGACTGAGGGATAAAGGATCATATTACGCATACTGCAAAATGCTTGAGAGTTCCAGGTGGCTTGATTACAAAGATTCTGAGCTGACCTGGAGACGGGGCATGTACAGAACAAGTCTGCAAAGTTCTTCTGTACAGATAAGACCTGCACATGTTGCAGACTTGCTCTGTACATGTCCTGTCTTATATTATTTAGAATATCGTACTACATTCCTCCAGCTTTAGTTTTCAGCCACTGCCTTTAGTCTTTAATACAGCTGTTAACGAACACATACACTGAACTTTTTCCATTTTTGTATGCTTTCTGTTATACAGGCCTTTAGCCATGTACAATCTAGAAAGAACAGAGAACATACAAAATGAAGTGTGAGGAAAAGGTCAGTGCATGTGTTAGTACACAGCTATATTAAAGACTAAATACAAGTTATGAAAAGCCACCATGTGGGTATGCATTAATGCAACATGGACAGGATCAAGCAAATGTGGATGCTCTACAGGGCAGAATACTCTCCTTATCTATTCTCCACAACTGTTTGTGCACTTTATCTAACCATGAAGACAGGAAACATGAAATAAACAGCAATGATCTGCATACACATACTTTAAAAGGTTATTCTTCCAGGGTTCTTCAGTAACGACATTCAGCCTCATTCACCTTGCTTTTTTTCTTAAATTTGTTCTTGAGAAAGGTCGTAAGAAAAAGTCTACGTCAGATTCATGACATTTTTAAACCTCAGAATTGTTCACACCTTTGTACTGGTGGGTGTGTGTAGATTCTGTTCTTACGTAAGAGCAAATCCCAAATAAGTAAACATTGGTGAGCGTCAATCTTTGCGAAAATGGCATAAGTGGGTTTTAAGTAGGAATTTCTTCTTCAGAGCAGTTTGTAAATAAGGCCCTATGGTTCTGTACAACGCTTGAAGAACCATCTTTAAGACTGTGTAGAACATGGGCATATGTCAGATGTTATGGGCAGATACAATACTGGATTCCATGCTTAATTCAGGTCACAGTACACCAATTTTTGAAGGGGTTGCACCCAACTCCACACTGAAATACACAAAAGCAACTAGCATTACCTTTTTTATAGGTTTATTCTGTTTGTCAACCCATTTTCCTTCCTAACCATGACATATTAACTGAAACACGGTGTAAGCAGGGTCTCAGTGCTGGCTGACGATTTCTGCTCTGTGATAGGTGAGAGTGGTGGGAGGTTTAGGTGAAACAATATATTTTTGTTAATGTTTTTTCCCCACCCACTGGTGCACAGTGATGTAATCAAAAGTCTGAAGACATTTTAGAGGTGGGTAAAAAGAACTACACTGAAATGAAAGATTATAGGAATAATTAGCTTGTATAGTGGTGTTTCAGCAAAGGGTTTTTTTTTGATATGGCTATAAGCTAACAGAAGATAGAACACAAAAAAAAGAAGTAGGGTGAAGGGCAAGAGTGAGCGCTGGGCAAGCAGAGTATCTCCTGAGGGGGCTTCTCAGGTATTTACCTTCAAAGAAACAAACATTTTAGAGGTGGGCAAAAAGCACTACACTTCAAACATTATAGGAAAAATGGAAATTGACGTTTTAATGATGTACGAGTATTTTCGCTTAATGTGACTAAGAATATGAATTAACAGGGTTGAGTTTTAGGACAGAGCACCCTGACCAGACAAACAGCGGTGTTGAATTGTTTGGAAAATCAAGAATGTTCCCAATTTTCTCCCTCGCCAGAAAAAGAGCGTTCAGAAAGAAGCATTAGTGAAACAGAAGAATCTGAGTGAATGGAGGAGAACATTCTAGATTCACCCAACAAACAGGTATTTCACATCAATCAAACATTTGTTTCTATACACACTCAGCAGGCAAGAAATGAGCCCTACATAAACGAGCGTGTGTATGAGTGCATTTTAAGATAATCAGAACTAAAGATTAGCCTCTACAGAACAGCTGTCATTTACCAAAACTCATCACTGTGACACCAAAACAGATAAAAGTTATGTTCCATGTAAATGTGTGTTTAGCTTAAGTCTAGCCTTATTAGAACATGTTTTCAAAAGAAATATTCTGCTTTCAAACTACAGACCTACTTTGGGGATACTTGAGCACAAATGTTTAGGAAACCGAAGTGGTTTATGTGAAAGTTTCATTGCTAGACGAATCCTTAAATTCCACATCAGGAAAAAAAAGTTCTAGAAATGTGGCAACAAAATAATGTCAAGCCTGCCAAATGTATTAATGACCAAACTGACTGCAAAGAAACTACAGACCCAAAATGGTCAGCCAACAATGAGATTTTTAGTATGTCACCGCAAAAAACTCAAATCAAGACAAGAGTGTGCAGGATTTTTAACCAATAGTATTTAATGATCATTGCCATCTCTGCCCTGTACCCCTGTAACTATCCCCCCTCCCTCTGAAAAGTCCTCTTCCCCACACAGTAGACAATCAGGACCAGGAATCAGCTATTTAAACAGACCTAAATAAATATGAGCATGTGTGTATGAGTGTGTGTACACATGTGTGTGCGTGTCTGTGTGTGTGAGCACGCAAGTGTGAGAGAAACAGCTTAAAATAATGGAAAAGAAAAATCTAACTTAATCTCAAGTTTTAAAAAAAGGGTGTTAGACTTTTTTTTCCCAATTTTAAAACATTAAATAGAACATACTTGGGGCCACTGGTTAGTGTCACTAAACCACCTACAATAATAACCATTCTAAAATAGCTTTTCTTCAAACCATTTAAAAAAGAACAAAACTAATCAAGTCAAACAGCACCACCTATAGGTAGAGCTAAGCTTTGGTCACAGAGGAGGAGGGAAGAAAGAAAGATTGACCAACAACAAATGTCGCAAAAGAACAGTTAGTTGATCGAGCTATTAAGACTTCAACTTTACACTTTAAAAAAAAAAATTGAAGAGTAAAATTTTCATGAATTATTCTGTCACTGTTGTAACATTTTGCATCGTTGAAATACTAAAAAAGGGGAAAACGTCCATGACTAATGCAAGTTCTAAGTAATTTTGGACAGTTTCTCTGGGTTCATTTAACATAAAATGCAAATGCTAAAAAAATTGACAAGGTTTTGATAAGACAGCGACATTTTCCTTGTACAATGGTGTTCCAGCAAAGGGTTTTTTTTTGGATATGGCTATAAGCTAACAGAAAGTAGAACACAAAAAAAGGAGTGGGGTGTAGGGCAGGAGTGGGCGCTGGGCAAGCAGAGTATCTCCTTTAAGTCCAGAATCTGTTGCATTATCTTACACAGAAGACACTAAAGTAGGAGTGAGGGGGCTTCTCCCACAACGTCAGGTATTTACCTTCAAACAAACTGAAGACGACCTCTTTACTGAAAATATGTATGTGTGTGTATAATGTATGTGTGTTATGGGGTGCAGGGCATGCATCAGTCCATGTCATTTGCCCAAGTAGTTGCAACTCTGTCCTCTTCTGCTCCATTCTGTCCATTTCTATTTGTAGCATGAAAACACCAGCTCTTATGAATTCTCGTTCTCTCTTCCTCTCTCTCACTCTAAGGGTGCTTTTTGTCACTCCCCTCCCCACATTACAAGCTTTGAAATGCTGGGGAGAGGAAGAGGAGCAGAGGGGACAGACATCTTTCTGTCCAGCCCTCCATCCCTCTTTCCTCTTCCTCCTGCTCTTTCTCTCTCTGTAGGTAGAGGAGGATCTGCCTCTACCTAGGGCACTGCAGAGCTGGGTGGGGCAAATACGAAGCCCCACTCTCTCTGATCCAAATCAGACAGGCGCAGATGGATGGAGCTCTCAGTTTGAGGCGCTGCTGCTGGAGGAGCTGGAGGTGGAGGCGATGGCTGTGTTGGAGTTGCCGGTTGTGGCCACCGATTTGCGGATGTGGGGGAGCAGGAAGGGGTCACTGGCCAGCTGATGGACATCAATACGGTCCTCCTTACGGTAAACCAGACACCGACGAATGAAGGCCTAGAAGGATGATTTGATATATAACTACACAATCAGACAATTGTGTATATAAATAAAATGAAATAATTTAATAGATATAATTGATATAAATTATATTATTACAAGGTGGGAGCTTGTCTTAATTCAGCTTGGGGGGGTGGGGGGGGTGGGGGGGGAGATGAGAAACCAAAATCTAGTACAGTATTTCCACCTGCAGAGGTAATGCTATATTTAGCATATTTAAAATATGTAGCAAAGTATTAGTTCAAATTTCTGATGTTGCTTCGATTTATATCAGTCTGTGTGTGTATTTTTCTTAAGTTCTTATTTTGCTTAAGTAAATTTATTTCAGCAGGTTTTATAGTGGCTAATTATTCTGCGATGTCCCTTCACTTTTCAGTAAGAAACATTAACATCTAAAGTAAATCTGAAATATTTTTTATTTGCGAAACAGCAAATTAAACAAAACCAAAAGATAAATAGACAAATCTACGTAAATATTGCTTTCTAACACCAGCCTGTGGGCCCAGCAAAAATGTATTTAATACTGGCACTGTACAGGCATCTGAAAGTAACAGCTGCACCATTTAAGGTGGAACAAGAAATTCAAATCATAAGCGTCACATTAGGCAGCTGACCAAGTCAGGCTGCTTCTCAGGTGGTGTGAGGAAAAAAAAAAAACAAAAATCACTTAGTTGTCTATGTTGGCTTAGGCCAACTCCAAATGACCGGCTTTTTCTTTAAGACCACTGTCTCGAAAGCAAAATGGACTACATCAGATTTAAAGAACTCACTAATAATCATGACTTGACAACAAGAAATCACTTTTATTTTTGGATATCGGCCAGCCCTATCAGTTCTACCGAGCTGTAATAAAGAAGGGTCACTTTATACTATTAGGGAAAATAACACAAAGATATAGAGAGATGGAAAAAAAAAATTTAGTTGTACCTTAGCCTCAGGTGAAACTCCAGGTTTGGGAGGGAACTGCACCTCAGTGGCTTTGAGTATAGTGTTCTCCTGTAGGATATCCTGCTGTGACTGATTATGACCAAAGGGCTGCAAGAGTAAAGGAAACACAAGAACAGGCAATCTAAGATATTTCAGCAGAGTGCTGGATGTAATAGAGTGTAAACATACATTACGTTAAATGACTTCAGTGAACAGTAACTGAGGATTTGTTTTGAATTGCTGAGGATTTGGGGGGGGGCACACTATACATACCACACAATTTCTAGAATTACAGTCTAACTGAGTTATTAGCAAAAGCACATCTCTAAGTGGAACACTATTCATTACATTATGGCCAAAGGGAGAGCCTTACGGGCTTAAGTGAAAAGGTTTCCCCTTAAATGTACATTACCTTTTTCCCATAGAGGCACTGGTAGAAGATCACTCCAACTGACCACACATCCACTTTGTTGGAGATCTTAGGTGGCTCCTTCCCTACCACAAAGCATTCTGGGGGCAGGTACCTACAGGAAGGAGAGGGAGCATATTAGATGTGGCAGCTAATCTAGAACATGAGAAGGTGTGTTCCTCCTCAATTTGTTAAGGCCAGAATTTTAAATTCCACCTAAATTACTTTGATCACAACCGACGTTAGTTAATTACATGTCGAGGCTAACTATTTATGCATTACACAGACTTTTAACCCATGATAAGCCAATAATAAAAAGATGCATAATTACAGTCTACATCAGACACACATACCAGTAGGTCCCAGCTCCTTGCGAGGTGAGCTCCATGCCATCTACACCGTAGTTATCATCGTCCATGATCTTGGACAAGCCGAAGTCTGTAATCTTTATCTCCCCGCATGCTGTGCCGTTCACCAGTAGGATGTTACCTAAGGAAGGAAAGAGTCATGGGTCATAAGTTCTATTTGGGTCACTGTGAAGCATAGTGATTACTTCTGACAAGGTCAGCCTGAAAGATTTGAGACAAGTCTGCCAACTCAGTAGACTTTTTCTTGTGACCATGATGGCAGCAGTCTCCATTTTAAGCAAGTCTGTTTTTCTAATGTCTGGAAGAACAACAGAATGATGTATACTCTGCTGCCATCTGCAGGTTGCAATGCAGTGAAAAGAGGTTTTTCCATCACCCTGTCTTTTGCTAAGGTTATTTTATCCGAGTATTGTGACATAAATGGACATTATCCACATTAAATGTCTGCAGTGTGGAACTATTTTTAAAAGTGCAAATTAAAAGAGTCTAACAGCCACCTGTAATGACTTGCAATGCCAGTCAGGTTTAATCAAAAGAGGGTTAAACTAGAAGCACACAGAATGTTCAGTGCCCAGCTCTACACTCTAACAGCAACAATACATGAAAAGCCAAGAAAGGATGCAAATGTTAGACAAACTTGAAATCTAGGCAGAATATTCAAGACACCTTGCACATAACAACAGGAGGGTGGACAACTATACATTTGGTCTGGTCACAATGAATCTTGTAGCCAGAATTACAGAAACATGTTTACTGTGTATACTTCACATTTACAATAAACAAACATGCTTCGGTACCAAAAAACAGCCAATCCACTCTATGCTCTACAGAACACTAGAACCTTCTCAACTCAACTATGAACTTTCTAATTCTTTGTTTTTGTAGTCGTCACTACTGCCACTGGCAGTAAAGTCATATCTTAATAACCATGTCATCATAGTAGGCTACAAAAGAAAGCAGAGTTTTAAAAACAACATGTTGGCACATTAGAAAGGAAAAATCCAAGAAAATCTTATATGATGCAATGAGAGCCACGTCCAACCAACCAGTTTCTAGATCTTGTGCAGGTGCGTAAAAAGCAGTTTTTTGTTATTAATGATTGATGACAAATATTTGTAAATGTGTGAAAATTTAGCAAGTTTGGCGGTTAATTAAAAAAAAAGAGAGGTAAACAGCAGTAAACCTAAACTGTGTTCCTCGCTTAAAGTATAGACTGTGTAGCTGCAGTTGTCAACAAAAACGACTGGACCATGACTGTCGACAGATACTCAATATTATATGAGTCTGATCAGAATCAGAGCCAAAAATACTTGGATTAAGCACTCTAGTAGAAAAACCTTCAGAATCACAAGTGTGTCTGTGTTGTACCTGGTTTAAGGTCATAGTGGATAATTGGTGGGCGGATCTCATTCAGGTATTTGAGGGCGTTGACAACCTGCATGATAATAGACCGGCCTTCTTTCTCAGACATTAACTTGTGCTGCTTCAGGTAGAAATCCAGATCATTGCCCTCACAGTATTCCAGAACTGTGCAGAATCTACAAACACAAACAAATCCACTATTTTTGCTTTTCAGACAATTTAGGATAGACAGAAGTCAACGTTAAATTACAATGCATTCACTCTATATCAGCTTTGCAGTTAGAAACACAAAAACAAGGGCCTCAAGCAAGCAGTTAAGAAGAATTTCTCACGAGTCAGTGTCCAGCGAGAAGTAGTCGTAAAGTTTGACTATTCTGGGATGGTCCAGCTCCTTGTGGATGCGGTATTCTCGGCAGGCGTGTCTGAAACCATCAGTATAGAATGTTTAAAAACCTCCTCAGACAGACTTAAAGGCACAGGCAGAGTGCGCCTCACCAGTGAACATGAGCGCATGCTAAACACATCAAACAAAAACAAATATATTTGATGTTTTCCTAAAATGCACTGCGCACAGTTTTAGAAACCAAATATAATGCCTCAGTGGTTTCTTTGAATTACAAGAGATTCAAGCTTTGGGTAACGTAAAAATGGCATCCTACTTGTGGTAGTTCTCTTTCTTCTCATCTCTCCAGTTTTTATTTAGCTGATGGATTTTTACAGCCACGTATCTTTGCTCCGTCAAGTCAAAGGCCTGGAGGAGATGGAGACAGAGAGAGAAAAAGACTGTCCATTACATAATCTAGTGAGACCTAAGCACCAAATTCAATACACCCACCACATACGCACCATACGGAAAATTCAGACACGCTTTAGAAAAAAATACCACCATAGCACCATGTGTTAATAAAAATTATAAGCTTGATAAAAACTTGTAAAAAAATAATGTCTCCCCCACCCTAGATTCTCTGGAAAGCTCCCCTACCTTGTATACTTCACTGAAGCCTCCTCTGCCTAGCAGGTGCAGCAGTAGGTAGCGGTCATTCAGTGTGGGGTGATCTTTGAACCTGACACAGAACAAATCTAAACTTTAACTTCAGCTTAGGCACTTCAAAGTTAAACCAGCAGGATCTCCAAATTATCAGATGTGTCAGCAAAGCCTGTGCAACTCTAAAACAGCTTTGTTCAAACAGGGAACAAAGAAAAGCAGTGTTTGTGTTAATGTCATCATCAAACCCCTCTGAACATAGCTACGACGGAACAGCGGAAAGAAAGGAACATACTGTGAGTTATCTTCGTTGTGTATTCTCTTGAGTTCTCGGATGTGAAGATTACGCACTCGCTCCAACCGTTCCAATTCAACCTGAATCTCAGCCTCCTCCTACACAAAAACATACACATTGTGTATCCTTTTAGCTAAAAGCAGACACCATCAAGATTAACAGATTCAAAATAAACAAAAAAGCAAGCAAACAAACACCGGCTTAACATATGCGTTCTGCGTACCTTCTTTAAGTGGCCGAGTCTCAATTTGAAAATCTCTTCTTGCTCATGATATTCTGCTAGTGATAACCTGTCAGCATAACAAAAGCATATTACAATTCAATAACATTCTAAGACAAATATGCCAAATAATGCAAACATGCAGGTAGTGCCTCATTCTCTGTCTCTGCTCACATCTCATTCTCTGCCCCATTGCTCTTGTTCTTGCGTTTGTTGGGCTCCAGGCTGGGGGGTGGGGTCTGGGACACACTGGGGGGTTTCTTCTTAGCCAGGAGTTTCCTCTGCCTCTCAATGTCCTCTCTCTGAGAGTTCACCCTCTCCTGCTGCCTACACACACACAGAGATAAAGGATGAGGGAACAGATTAACCCAAACAAAAGAAATCCAGGAAACACTGATCAGCCCATACAAAAGCCATAGAGAGACAGATACACAGATAGATAGATAGATACACAGATAGATAGATAGATAGATAGATAGATAGACAGATAGATAGATACACAGATAGATAGATAGATAGATAGATTATTGTCTGACACTATATTCCAATCCTTTAGTGCTATTCATGTTGTATTCATTCACGTTGTGTAAACATGCAAACATTATAATGTATTGTGGTATCGCATGACATGACTGGCTGATCCAAAAGTACTAAGCCACATAGTCTCCAAAAGCCTCAAAATTATCCTAAAGAAAATACTGAATGCCTTCATGGCTCCTGTCACATTAAAGTCAAATGTATCTGAAGTTTCGCAGTCTGAAATACACTCGACTCGAACAGAAAAAAAAAAACAAACACTCTCTCTCTTCTTGGATTTCTGAAGACAAGTTTTAAACTGGAACTCTACAAATCAAACACCAAAGCTGAGAGCAGTATTAAGTCAGCTTTTCTGTGCTTTATCACAATGGATAATGAGCAAATGCCTTTACTGACTGTCAGATCAGTGTAAACATGCTCTGCCTCTCGTAAATGGCCAAATAAAGGTTATGCATATAAGCATAAACACAAACAAACAAACAAACAAACAAACAAACAAACATGTTTGACAGGGAATACAAGCTGCTGTGACTTAATACCCTAGACTAGCTGTTGGCTACATTAAAGCGCTTAAAATTACATTATGTCCTTCAGCATATCCCTAGATTCCTAAAAAGTAAATGCATTTTTATTTGAATACATAAACAAATTGTTGTAGAAGTTTTGGTTTAAAAGCTGAAGATATTAAGCTAAAACACACAATGAGGAGCTTTACCGAAGCTAAATGACTTATCACGCAAGCCAGCAATGGGGCTACTGAAGTTGAATTAAAGAACCTGAAAGAGAGTCAACAGCTGCAGAGTGGTTACATGGAGGCAGGAATTAGATCACAGTAAAAGTGAAACATAGCAAACTGAGCAAAGTGGTCTTGACTGGCTAGATATAACTGTATACTTGAACTGCATTTGTCTTATGTTGTGTTAAATATGTTTGTGTATTTATATGACTTGTTTATCTAACTTGTAAAGGTGTATAGAAGTGCGTTTTGTCTTACTTGACTAGGTTCTGAAAGGCGTAGCCATCGGTCCACTGCTCTGTGAAGGAGGCACCGTGTCGTACTGTGGTGAAGTGGCCCAGCCGCAGCCGATCCTGCATGCTCTTATCCCGGCACGCCATCTTTTCCTGCTTTGACTACACAACAAGCAAACAATTAACACAGGCTCTGGATTACATCAAAATTACCCACACTAAAGGAACTATGATGCACACACCTTCTCAATGAGCAGCTTCTTGCTCATGGTCACGCACTTGTTGAGGCGTTCTTTACAGCGCTCCAGCATTCTCTGCTGCTCATCAATCTGTCTGCGCAAATCACAATTCACCTACAACACAAAAACATCTCTAAATCAACAGACAGGCTGGGTATAAATCAGAAACTAGAACTGGTCCAAAGGTGGTATTGGAGCTGGGTAAAATATACAGGAACAGGGTTTTTACAGAAGTAACTGGAATAACCATATATATATTAAGAGCTTATGTTCAACGTAAGAATCTTCAAAGTACATCTTCGGCATAACAAACAATATTGAATATTGGACATTTTTTCAAGCCTTCATTTTTCTTTCATGTGCCACTGTAATACCTGGGCTATAGTACAAAAGCTAAAGCTCAGTATAGGGGTGGGTGATATGAATGAGATTGTTACCTCAATAAGTTATGCCATAAGCTTTCCTGAGCATACCGCGAATATTATTAGTACCTAAACAATACTAATCCACTGCATGTTTAATAAAAAATAGACCTTAAAGTGGTTCCCAAGTGGTATAGCTGTTGAAAACATTGCCCTTAAACAGCTATGCTATTTGGGAGGTTTAAAATCCTAACAATGCCTTGAGTCTGTGAGAGTGTAATTGGCTAATTTATGTGTCTGTAGTAGAAACACTGAATATTTAACTTACAAACACTAATAGCTTTCTACTGTTTTGCCAGTGAACTGTCCGTTTTAAACTCCAAAAGATTACATATCAGGATACGAAGCTCAGGAATGTTTTCACCTCTAGTTTAGCACAATGTGGTGCATTTTTTTGGGGGGGGGGGGGTTTGGGTGCGGCAGAGGATGTACGTTGTGATTTTACACACTGATTGTGAACAGCGCTGACACGGCCATCCCTACCCTGAGCAGATCGTCAATGCGCCCTTCTTTCTTCTCCAGGTCAGAACTCTTGCTGCTTTCCAACGCAGCCAATTTCTCCAGAGTCAACTCCGACTGAGGGGAGAGAGCATGAGTGTATGTTGCATCATCTCTTAGTGTATGCTGCATCATCTTTACCTATGTACTGTTTAAAAGACAGTGTGCGAGTGTGTGTGAGTTACCTGTGTTGCTCGGTGCTGCGTGTGTGTGAAGGCTGGTTTGATGGAACATGAGGAGTGAGAGTGGTCTGTGTTTGCTGAACCGAGAGAGGAGGGGCTTCCCTGCTGCACCTGTCAATCATATTTTCATTTATTATATTACACTAATCACACAAACACTGAACATTGTGGGCTACATAAACCGAAGCCTGTTTGGCAAGCCATTAACAGTAATTTAATTCTAACTAGATATTAGAGATGATGGGTGGATGAATGGACAAGAAAGGCAGCCAGTGCTGCAAAGAGACAGTGATGGATAGGTAGATACAGAAAGCAGTGGCAAAAAAAGAAAGCAGTGGTAAAAACGAAAGGAGGGAAGGAGAGCAGAGAGGGGGGGGAGAAAAGGCAGGAAAGTGAAAGAGAGAAAGCGAGCGCAGGTGACTCACTGCAGCAGGAGGGTTGGAGAGAGAGTGCTGGGGAGAAGAGCGCACCACAGGAGGAATACCACGCGCCGGACTAGTGCCAGTGCCACTACCCCCCGCAAACTAGAGAGAGAAAGAGAGAGAAATGATTAGGATAAAGGGTGAGTGGTTAGTATAAAGCCTGAGTACTTAAAAGAAACCTTGTTGCTGGTCACACAATGTGGCTTATCCATTTCATATTCCACATTAAATAACTTCCACCATCCCTTAGAATTAAATAGGCTGTTTTGATACCGTGCATTTAAGACTGAAATGAATAAGCTCAGCTCTGATTGGTTGTCCTGTATTGTACCTCATTCAAAAAGCAGTCTAGGAACACTTGACAGACACTCACAGTTCCTTTTCTTGTAACTGAATAACTTTTTATTGTTCAAAAACACTTGAAATATTGAATAAAATAACAAAAAACTGAGACTGGTAGTGTAGGTTTGGCTAATAAGCATGCCTGCCAGCTCCCCTGGCAAAAAAGGCACAGCAGGTTTACAACCTAGCTCATCATTTTCAACGGACAGGCACGCTTCAGTTGTTACTGGTGGAATGTGATGCTTTCAGACAGCCGGGGTTCAGTTATTTCACATTCACTTCCAGTGCGATGATTAAATCAATTAACAAGACTATATAAAAAACAATATAATGGTCAGGTTACCTTGCTTTCTCTTAGCACTACTTCCATAAGCCTCCATTCATTCCATCTACGCTGCCACAACTGCAGACTTAACTAGGCACAAAGCCCCTTAACTTTAGGCTGAATTTGCTTGTTGTACATGAAAACAGCCTCTCATTACAGAGGACTGTGATGATGATCACGATACAACAACAACAATAGTCCAAAATGTGAAGTATTGTTGTGAATAGCCAGATCAAAAATGGTGTGAATAGCCTGGTTATTGATTTTTGCCTTAAAACTCACTTCAGGTTCATAGTCTAAACCCTGGCCTTGTGAGAACTAGACTGTTGTAGGAATTCCTTTCATTTCCTTCAGTGGTTTTATCCATTAATTTGCTTTGAGCTATTAGCATTTGTCGTTGATAAATACTTCTGCAGCCTCTAATTTAAACACGAGAGGACTCTTCTCAGCTTTGGTCAGGAGAAGGAGACTGCGTAATAATGACTTCAAAGCAGCTTTTTATGATCCCTAGGATACGGTCACAAGTGTGCCGTACGTTTTGGGTTTCTGTATTTCACGAGAACATGAGTGATGGTGGAAAGGAACTGGAAAATGTGTGTTCAGACAGACTGATAATTTAAATAAATAAACAAACACAACGAAAACTCATCACTGCATTTCATGTATGTTTTTATATTTTTTGAGAATGTATTCATATTTCTGATTCTAGAGAGATGAGTAGTGACATTTAAACTACATGGCAAGATATTCACCTTTTGCAACAGAACCTACCTCAAAATAATCACTGATCTTGTGTCCTCGGCCTCCTGCTTTTGCTAGTGGGGGGAAAAAAGGAGAAAGGTCGCAACATGCAAAGTGAGTCTGGATGTGTCGGAACACAAGCAGAGTTTTGAAATCTCTCAGCTTCACTAATTCAGTCAATCATGAAATACTGGAGGACATAATGTCAATCTGATTCTTTATAACTACATCAACCACCATCAACCATCTTCACACATTCAAAAACACTTGTAGACAAAGTGTAGTGTCCTCGGCAGATGAAGAAAATGTACTATAGTCACTGCCGCAAGTGGAACGGATCCAAAAGCCTCCTACCTTGGCTGTCAAAGGGGTCTCCTTTCCTTTTACGTGTCCTCTGGTCATTAGACTTCTTCTCAGGTGTCTGTGAGAGAGAGAGAGAGAGAGAGAGAGAGAGAGAGAGAGAGAGAGAGAGAGAGAGAGAGAGAGAGAGAGAGAGAGAAGGAGAACGAGACAACAGCAAATCAATGACATCACTTCATTCCACAATCCTATTCATTCCAGACGTTTCCATGAAAACACTGCTGCTCACCCAACCTACAGACTAGACACCAGCCTCCCCAGACTAAACAAAAAACAGTACAGTACTAATGTAACCCCATTACACAACCTCATCACTGCACTGTCCATCAGCCCTACCCTACTGCCCTCAAAACTTCAAACACTGCACCTAAAAGGCTCTTGGCCTTTCAAAAAACTTTTAACTACTAGAACATTCTGCCATGCAGTTCAGCCTTACACCAATGTAAAGATATATGAACATGTGTTTCATTGTACAGCCAGTAGATTACATTAGCAGGATGTATTCAAGCACATATGTTGATATAGGTTTGATTGTAGGCAACGTTCTGAGGCTTAATTTAGGTATTGCGTAATCCTTTCTGAGTACTTCCTGTAGGGATGGGCAATGTGGCAATACTAATAATCATATCACAATATTTTAAGAGATTTTCACAATACGATAGATGCCGTTTGATAAGTCACAGTGTCAGACGTCTGGCGACAGGAAAGGTTACCTTCTGACTTGAACAGAGATCTGATTGGGTCGATGGCTGTCAGTAGAAAGTCTTGGCATTTGCCCGAGTTAAGCCGTACACCTCACATAAATTAAAAGTTTTCTTTCCAGAGGTATGGCGGATTCATTTGAGTGTTTCCTAAACAACCTTTGTAACGGATTAGAAAATAAAATGGCAGATATTCATGTAATTTAAGAAGGGTTTATTCCAAAGCAGTGGCTACATGAATCAAGACAATATGGAATTTGATGCTAGATTAGAGCAACACAGCAACAGTACTCTAGTTTAAAACTGTGATGTGAACTAGCACAATCATTTATTTTCACTCAGTGATTCACATGTTATGCAACAATAATAGGTCCAATATTTCTCTCATGAATCTATGGCATTGTCAGAATTTGATCTGCCAACAAAAGGGAGAAAGCTTTATGGGAGCCCTCTAAAGAAATGTTTATAACAAATATGATGACTTTTGGTGGTACAGTTACACAGATACTGAACTGTTTTATTCCAGTGGAGTGTCTATAATGGGGCTGCACAGGCACAGTCTATGCCCTTGTTCTACTGCAAGTTTAGTTAGGATCTTCATTTTCTTTAGAAATAATAAATATCATATGCTAATGTGTGCAGGAATAAAAGCCAATCTTTATCACACACCACTGGAAAAACTGTGAAAGAAGCCACAGTCAAAAAGCCAGAAGACGTCAAGAAGGATTTAAAAAGTTGGATTTTTAAACCACCTTCAAATTCAGACTGGACCCTCGACAGAAAGAGAAAACTCAAGTTGAGGTAGGCGCAGTTATTACTGACAGCTATCACTGCTGTACCTGCTAGAAAGAGTACTTGCTTGACAACGTTACCAAGTGTCACTTCTGCGACGTGAATATGGTGGTTTCACAATCAACTCTAAAAATGTGAATACATTGCAAGATCATGATATAATAAAAATAGACACACAGTCTGCTTCAACCACAAGACGTGTTGCTGCAGTGATTCGTGGGAGCAGAGTTCTCTGTTTGATACATGCACAAACACGTTATTGGTCAATTTATTCCCTAGCATTTTCTCTGAAATGGCTTTGACAATAAAAAGCATGTTTTTTTTCCAAGTGGCTGGCATGATGGCACCCTCTGACATTAAAGAACACCACTGAAAGTGACCGTTTTCCTTTAAAAATTTATGCCACTTAAAAGTATTTTCTAAATCTCCCTTCAAAGAAATATCAGCTGGTTGCTATTACAGATAACATATTCCCACAAAATGCTTTGCAATATCATTTCGTGTCACCCACCTCTAAGAGAAAGAGAGAGAGAGAGAGAGAGAGAGAGAGAGAGAGAGAGAGAGATAAACTAACCTCCAGCTCCTTATCACTCAGGGAGCCAACGCTACACAGACTCTGATTGGACGATTCATTGTGCCCGGAACCCTATGAAGAGAAGGGAATAAGCAAGTAAATAAACAAAGACAACTAACTTCAGACGCAGACATACAAGCTGCTGAGAACATCCTGTTTACAACTGCAATTCTCCATTTCTGCCTCTTCGTAATCTCTTGAAATTTTCTCAATCCCATCACACTCAAAAATGCACAATGACATTGAGTTCCAAAGTTGCATAGAGATGGAGAGAGAAGGGGAGTGAAGATGGGCGTGGAGCACAGAGGAAGTCTATTCTGTAATTTTTCTTTCAGGACACTTTGAGCTCGATGTTGAAGAAAAACACTGAGGGATCCGTCCTGACGCACCTGACTTGCACTGCATGAGGTTGATGCAGTCAAATGCTTCCACTGGGACTGCACAGTGATTCATGGTTTAATAGTCTCTGCAACATGGCTTCCCGCAACATGACAAATCGTAAAAGCCCACAATTATCGGATTCTGCTTGGTGCTACACCTGGGGCATCAAATTGGAGCAATCTTGAGTGCTCCAACAGATTGATGAACTGCAGATATTCAAGCGCTCTGAGAAAGTATGTTTTTCAAATCCAAAAAAAAAAAGTCTTCAGGCATTCGTTCCACTACATAGTTCATCATAATTGCAGCTTTAATTATTCCATATCACACATCTCTATTTTTCCACGCTTAGGACAGCAAGAAGATGAAAGCCGCTAAACCGACAGAGAAAGTGAGCGTTCTGAATCTTTTCTTCGTCAAAAAGGTTGCCTACATGCTGCTTACAAACAGGGTTTCCAAAAGCTGGCTGCAAAAAAAAGAAAAGCAAACAGTTTTAGAGCTGCTAACTGATAAAAGTCCTTCAGATTAGGGATGCGCATGTGACATTCAGTCCCTGATGTGTTGAAGAATCAAACAGGATTCACTGCAGCTCAGTTAACGACACGCCTGATCAGAATACTATGGACATACCATTAAACAGAGCAAGTTATGTCTGCGGACCTTTGAAATGAAATGCACTCCACTTTCAGTTAGCAGGCTTTACGATTAACTGCATAGCCTCACTTTGTGCAAGCGAAAGCATGGTAGATCAAAAGACATAAGGGTAGCAGAGACATCAGAACCATAAAGTGGTTGCAAGGAGATCACATTGGACACATGCGCTTAGAACGGAGTTGGAGATTAACGTAAAGCAAGAGGGACAGACAATGGATGATGGCAGAGATGGAGGGATGAAAGATGAGACATTTTGGCTTTTCGGCTGCGTGCTGGCAGACCTTGGCAACTCCGACCCCAGTGAAGCGCGCCTCCAGCAGCTCCTGCCTCCGAGGATCCAAACTGTGCAGTTCCTCCATCATGACTGAGAGAGAGAGAGAGAGAGAGAGAGAGAGAGAGAGAGAGAATGGTTTGCATCTGATTATGCAGCCATAGTGATGCTGACGGACTGATACCACAGTAATGTGTGTGACATGTTGAGTCATGTGTCACTGCATGTTTTATCGAGACCTTTCTCAGAATTCATGAGTCTCTCCCTCTTTCACACATACACTGAACATCCACAGGCCCCACTAAGCCTACAAGCATCGTCAAGAGTCATACGACTCCATATGACACGTACAGAGACCTAACAAACAGATACAAACCTGTATGAGCTTGAGTTAGTAAAACAATCACAACACCGAGCTCTTCTCACAACATGAGCCAAGCACATCTCACATCGCAGCACAAAGCCCAATTCTTGTAAGCTGAGCCTCAGTAACTTCATTAGGTCAGCACTAGGTTCAGGGAGGTGGCTGGAAGGGAAAAAAGATGCCACCCAAGAGCTAACTAGCTGCCCAGGTTAGCTAACAACTAAACTAGCCCGCTAACCAGCTAGCTACCGAAGTATTCAATCATTATCGGTGCAACAAAGTTACTTCCAGCTCAAATAACTGAAAATAGAACAGAAAGTGCGAAACATTTGTCAACCCATCGCACTAATTCACAAAAACAGACCACGTATTTTCTATGCGTTGATTATTTTAGGTATAATTTCGAGGCTATGTAGTTGGCTAACCCAGCTAACCACCACGCTAGCCAGCTAGCAGACTGCTCTGAATCACCGTTCGTGTTCATGTAACGAGCAAATATGAAAGAAAATCTCTCAGAAAATGTCTCCAACTTTTTCCTCGGATTTCTATCCTTACTGACCGTTGCTAGTGGGTTAGCTTATTAGCAGGTCAGGCTGTTGGGGTTTGGCAGCATCATCCACACAACACTGTTAGCACTGATTGATGCAGGTTAACTAGATTCCTCACAAGTTTTTAACACTCAGCAAAAGCTGTATTTTTACCTGAGGTGTTAATGGCGATTTAACTTCTGAAGGGCTTATTTCTTTTGGTTTAATGTCCGAATGCTCTCCTCCCTTCTCCTCCTCCTCCTCCTCCTCCTCTTCTTGACTCCAGTCTTGTCTTTCTCGACTAGCCCGACATTCCCAAGCAAGGCCTCGTCCAAATCCCCGCCTGTCCCCAGCGCTCAGTGGCCGGCAGCTCCGACTTCCAGCGGCAAGCGGAAGGCCGGGACACCTCCGACTCGAGGCCTCGACACGGTCAACCTCTCCCACAAGCCCTGCTGAAAAGCCACAGTCTATTAACTGATCAGGCTACGCTGCGCTCCTTTCTTCCTTACAAAGCGATGGCATGCTGCCCGGACGCAGCGTTCAGAGCGCATCCACCATCGCTCCGTTTTTCCCTCAGCGGAATAAATCTCGACCTTTCTCCTCGTTCCCGTCTGTCTTCTCCGGGTCAGCACCGAACCGGGCTCGACGCCTGGAGTGATGAAGCTGCACGTAAAGACAGGTTCCGCGCTCACATCTCTCGAGAACAGACCCGCCGCTGAAAAGCTCCGCTATCCGTACCGTACCCGTCCGTTCAGTCCAATCCGGATCGATTCGGTTCGGTTCTCATCATTACTAATGTAAACAACTATCGGTAAATCTCACGTTCTCTCGTGAGATTGTGTACGCTTTTCAACCGCTCGGCCACGCCCATTTCCACATTCCACCATTCCATTCACGTTTTCTTAAAAGGGAATTACCAACATTTTTCAATTTATTTGCATAATCAATTCATTAAGATGACAAACGAAGTCACTCAGAGGGTGAAATACTCGGTTCCAAAGAAACATAAAGAGTCAGAATTGTTCAACTGTTGACAGAACCCAGAAATCTGAAGACTTTAATGCTTCCAAAAGTTACCTCACAGGAAGTCATTACATGAAATGGTTACGAATACGCTTCCTGAGACTCTGAGTGTGTTTACGTGCACTCAATAATCCAAATCAGATTTTGTCAGTAATCCGATCAATGCGTTCACATGCACTCAGGTAATCAGGTAATGGGGAAACTCCAGGTCTACATGAGTCAGACAATAATCAGATTTCTGCTTTGCAACCAGCCAATAAACTCACAGAAGATGACGTGACGTAAACGTGATGTAAAACTCAAACATCGCGCCACTTTACCTGAAAATATTAACATACCTCATCTAGAAGATGAAGAATATTTAAATCCTTCATTTCGTCAAGCATGTAGTTGGTTTCAGCATCGCTCCAAAAGTGTTTTGCTGCTGTCTCGTGGTAAAGCTTCTTGCTTATTTCCAGCACTGCGGTCTGTTTTCACACATGCACAGACTGAGAAATCCAAGAGAAATCAGATTAAGGGGTTTACATGTGCCAAGAAATCAGATTACTGAGGTAAAATCATAGTTAGAAATAGTTAGAAATAGGACATAGTTAGAAAAACAAATTAACCAAAAGCTCGACTAAACAGGTAAGTTTTTAGCCTAGACTTAAAGATGGAGGCTGTGTCTGAGTCCCGAACACAGACTGGTAGGTTATTCCAAAGCTGGGGGGCTTTGTATGAAAAGGCTCTTCCCCCTGACGTAACTTTATTTATTCTGGGTACTAATAATGAGCAGCACCTTGTGATCTAAGTGGGCGTGTCGGTTGATAATAGGAAATAAGGTCACTGAGGTACTGAGGAGCAAGGCCATTCAAAGCTTTATATGTCAGTAGAAGAATTTTGTACTCAATGCGGAATTTAACTGGCAACCAATGTAAGGTACACAAAATTGGGCTAATGTGGTCGAATTTCCTGGTTTTGCTGAGAACTCTGGCTGCAGCGTTCTGGACTTACTGAAGCTTGTTAAGGCTTTGGCTGGAACAACCAGAAAGCAGAGCGTTACAGTAATCTAACCTGGACGTGATGAAGGCGTGAACTAACGTTTCTGCATCCTGCAGCGACAGTGCATTTCTTAATTTAGCGATGTTACGCAGGTGGAGGAAAGCTATTCTGGTAATATTGGTAATATGCTCATCAAAGGCCAGACTGGGATCAATCATGACACCAAGACTTTTTACAGATGTGCCTGGTGCAATTGAGAAACTATCGAGCTTAAGAGTAAACGTAGGCTGATTATCCCTAGCAGCTTTTGGACCAAAAAGAAGGACTTCAGTTTTGTCCGAATTTAGTAAAAGGAAGTTGCTTGACATCCATTCTTTAATGTCTTTTACACAGTCCTCTATCTTATTAAGTTCAGTTTTGCCCTCTGGTTTAGCTGAAATATATAATTGTGTATCATCGGCATAGCAGTGGAAACTGATGCCATGTTTTCTAATGATGGTACCTAGTGGTAGCATATATAAGGTAAATAACATGGGTCCTAAGACAGAGCCCTGTGGAACACCATACTTTACTCTTGTGAGAGCTGATGGTTCACCATTTACATTAACAAACTCAAAGTGATCACTAAGGTAAGATTTGAACCACGAAAGAGCTTTACCTGTCACTCCTACTAGTTCCTCAAGCCTGTCTAATAGAATGGAATGTTGTCCATTGTTCTCAATCTTAAGTGATACATCTGTGAATCCCCCATGTGGGAGCGGTCAAGATCCACTTGTAAATGATTGTTCAAGGATTCTTTAGTAATGAAGATGGTTCTATATAGAACCATGAACACTCAAATAACCCTTAGCATGAATTAAGGGTTCTTTGTATCATGAAAGGATTCTTCAGATTGATGGAAAATGTGCATTAATGCACTATAGATGGTTCTACATAGAACCTTTTTGGAAAGAGTTCTATCTAGCACCCAAAAGGGTTCTTATATTGTTACAAGCATCATAATAATAGGACCTTTTTGGGTGCTATATAGATCTACTTTCAAAAGGGTTACATACGGAACCATCTACAGCACATTTTCCATCAATCTGACGAACGCTTTCATGATGCAAAGAACCCTTTGAGTGACTATATAGAACAGTCTCTTTGAGTGACTATATAGAACCATTTTCTTTACTAAAGAACACTTAAAGAACCATCTTTTCTAAGAGTGTAGCCTAAACCCATCCTCAGTTAAAGGTGGTGTTACTTTGCTAAATAAAATAATAATATGATTTAAGTAGAAAAAAGTAGAAAAATATTTTTCCAAAAATAACTTTAGCAGAAGTACAAAAACACCAGGTCAAAATAATTACTTATGTACTGAGTGGCACTTTTTAGTACATCTATTAGCAGAGGAACTGAAGTTTGTTTGGCTCTATCTTTCTCTTTTTGATGCACTCTGCTAACCCTGTACTATATTAGTTACAGCTGTCTGGCTTGTGTAATTACTGCCTGCTCAGACAGCAGCTTGATGCTCTTATGAAGCCGATGAACCGCTGAGAGAATCCGTGCGCTGTTCAGCGGCTGCTCCAGGTAAAGACAGACGTTCAGTGGTCAACAGATACAAAATTTCCTCTAAAGCTGGACACACTACACCACTTTTAAAATCCTTACAGATTTTGAAAATGATCAGCATCACCCACACTTCTCATCTGTCTTTAGCAGAATTAAACAAAATCTGTTTGTGCTTTTATGCATGCACAAGTGTAGCAAAACCGCAAGCTGAGAATGAAGAGAAAGTTGAAATGCAGAAATCACAGTCAGAGCTGCAGAAATACACTATATTGCCAAAAGTATTCACTTACCCATCCAAATCATTGAATTCAGGTGTTCCAATCACTTCCATGGCCACAGGTGTATAAAACCAAGCACCTAGGCATGCAGACTGCTTCTACAAACATTTGTGAAAGAATGGGTCGCTCTCAGGAGCTCAGTGAACTCCAGCGTGCTACCATGATAGGATGCCACCTGTGCAACAAGTCCAGTCGTAAAATGTTCTGGCTACTAAATAAACACAGTCAACTGTCAGTGGTATTATAACAAAGTGGAAGCGATTGGGAACAACAGCAACTTAGCCACGAAGTGGTAGGCCACGTAAAATTACAGCGCGGGGTCAGCGGATGCTGAGGCCCATAGTGTGCAGAGGTCGGCAACTTTCTGCAGAGTCAATCGCTATTGACCTCCAAACTTCATGTGGCCTTCAGATTATCTCAAGAACAGTGCGTAAAACCAAGTACAATGCAAAGCATTGAATGCAGCCACCACTGGACTCTAGAGCAGTGGAGACGTGTTCTCTGGAGTGACGAATCATGCTTCTCCGTCTGGCAACCCGATGGATGAGTCTGGGTTAGGTGGTTGCCAGGAGAACGGTACTTGTCTGACTGTATTGTGCCAAGTGTAAAGTTTGGTGGAGGGGGGATTATGGTGTGGGTTTTTTTTCAGGAGTTGGGCTCGGCCCCTTAGTTCCAGTGAAAGGAACTCTTAATGCTGCAGCAGACCAAGAGATTTTGGACAATTTCATGCTCCCAACTTTGTGGGAACAGTTTGGGGATGGCCCCTTCCTGTTCCAACATGACTGCGCACCAGTGAGCAAAGCAAGGTCCATAAAGACATGGATAAGTGAGTTTGGTCTGGAAGAACTCGACTGGCCTGCACAGAGTCCTGACCTCAACCCGATAAAACACCTTTGGGATCCATTAGAGCGGAGACTGCGAGCCAGGCCTTCTCGTCCAACATCAGCGTCTCCTAAACCTTGTGGAAAGCCTTCCCAGAAGAGTTGAAGCTGTTATAGCTGCAAAGTGTGGGCCAACATCATATTAAACCATATAGATTAAGAATGGGATGTCACTCAAGTTCATATGCGTGTGAAGGCAGACGACGAATACTTTTGGCAATATAATGTATTTCACTATGGACTGACTGCTGACTTGAAATGAAAGTGATTATTTACCTGAATTCAACAAGCAGCTCCTCTGCCTCTGCTGTCCACTACGCTCTTCACCTTTTCTCCTCTCTCTTTCTCAGAGCTCTCATAGGTTGTTGCCTGAATTACTCATTCAGTTCAATTGCTGACCGTCTCACATTACAGGACTCATGAACGTTTTGGGTCATAAAAATGAAACATTATGTTTGAAAATATCACTTCAGAGCTTGAAGACAATTGTCAATTGCTTCCGATCGAAATCCCAACCCAGAAAATGATTTTAGATTGTGACAATATGTCAGGAAGGGCAAATCACCCTAAAACGGGGTTAGAATCACCCTAAAACCCATATAACGTAGGCCCAGTTTAACACGGATTAACATCTCTTAGCTGCCTATCTTATTTCAAAAGCAGGGCACTGTTTAGTGTTTTTTAATGTTTATGGTAAAGTTTATATTAAATCATATTCAGTCTTTTTCAGTAAAGTAACAGGACATCAGATTAAGTGTTTTTTTAACAGAAGGAAAGATTCTCATAGCATAAGGATTCTGATTCTCATGCTACAACAGAGAATCTTTAAAACAAAAGGTAATTCTTTCAGTTTCCTCAGATTATGAAAGTGCAATCCAAATTGAGTCTTAGCTTTGAGAGTGTTAATATACTTTTGATCAATGCATTTCATATTGATATGGTTTTGCTCAGCCTTGGCCCTTAAATAGCCTTTCTACTATATGTGAAATCACTTCTCGATGGAGAAAATGGTTTCATTCTTATTGCAACTGGGTTCAGAAAGGGCTTGATTTACAAACTGATTCATTAGTGACACACATACACAAATAGCTGGCTATGTGTTTGATGCCAACCTGACTCCATATTTAGTAAGGCAATGCATTCTACACTGATACAAGCCATATCAAAGTAAATGCAAAACACAACAAATGGGATTCTGCCTCAATTAAAAGTGAGGAACAAGTTTGTATTACATTCATGTATGGGTAACGTAACTTAAACTCATATTCAAGTATTCATTCTTGGTGGAGACTTAAATGTACCTTTCTGAAATAACTAGAGCAGCAGTGCAACAAGGTCAGCTCAAAAAACCTCTGTGCTAAGTAACTTAAAGAACTGCAGTGGAGTTTCTTAGTTCATCCAGCCTCCATCAGCGTAGTCACTGAATTTTTTTAGGTGCTATTGTTCTCAATTTGGGATCATATTGGTCCAACATAGAATGCAAAAGATCCAAAGTCAGAGGTGATATAATGTAAGAAAATAAATCCCAAAAAAAAGGAATGAGTAATGGTAATGACTAAAATGTAACTTAGTAAACAGTAGATTCCTTTCCTCACAAATATACTTGAACAGAAGTAAAAGCTTTTTCATTTGAGTAAACTTGTTTCTACCCATCTCTGATTACATTCTGAGTAAATATGGTAATTTCAGGCATTTTAACGCACCCGTAACTCCTCAGACCCGTGGTTATCAAAGCAGGGCCCTCTGGCCAGTCTATGTTTTTGATCTAACCCTGCTCCCAACACACTTTTACCATTTATTTAGCATTCTTAATTATTTAGTTCAGATGCGTTTCTAGCTAAGAGCAAAAATGTGGACCACCTGGAGGGCCTTGAGGATTGGTTTGGTTTGAGTTCCACTGCTTCAGATAGTAGTAGTTGTGGAGAAAGCTGTGGTTGTGGTGGATGTGTAGACATTGGTGTTGTTGGCGAAGTAGTGGTTGCTTGATTAGTAAAGTTCTGAAGATAGCAGTGGTAAAGGCAGCGGTGAAGACAGCACAGGTACAAAATTGCGATTTTATATGCAAATACCTAAAGAGCACAATCTAGTGTACATTCTTGAAAAACAAACTTGTGTGTTCTCTATTTTTACACCTTTTCTAGTGGGCCACAAAAATACAGTATATCTATGTGAATATAAATGTTTACTTTATACCTCTGGAATCTTTGGAAAGAAGATAAAGTGTTGCTATTATTGTTAGTAAATCTGCTGATGCTTCCAAGAACATCACTGCTGAAGCATCAGCAGATATACTAACAGAGCCACTACTACTACTACTACCGCTACTAACACTAGCTTAATCTTTGTCAAATAGAAACATAATAAAGCACAGTTCAGAAAATTGTGGTTATGTTTTGTCATCTTTTATGTGGCCATGAAAATGTAATTAATTTGGTAAGAAAGAACTTAAACTAAGGTTGCACTGATAAAACTTTTTTCCTTCTGATACTAATACCTGATCTTCAAGTATCTGCCAATACCAAGTACTATACAGAGCTGTGGTGTCTATAGCCACTTAGCTTTGCCTGACTGTACAGGAGCTGAGACACGACTGTTTTCCCGTTTTGTCTGAGGGCTGATGCTGTGGTCTGAGGATGTCCTAAAATGTACTACCATATGCACGGGTGGGATGTAAGGGAATACAAGTATTGGGAATACATATTCAGAATACAAAAATTAAGTACCTGTATTCAGTCCAAGTTACATTTTGTAAGGCAGTAGTCAGAATACAGTTACTTCTTATCTTTAAAGAATACTTTTAAAATATTTACCCATAAATTCTCTCTCTCTCTCTCTCTCTCTATATATATATATATATATATATATATATATATATACATATATATATACACACACACACAAACATGCATATATATATATATATATATATATATATATATATATATATATATATATATATATATATAGATAGATACATACATTCACGAGTGATGAGCTTAGCTTTTGTATTGAAGTGGACTTGTCCATCTTCCATGGCAAGTTACATACCTATCATTAACTGAAAATCACATAGCTACCCACTTTTAAGTCAAATTTGTGAGATTTTGTTATTGGGACATGGGGAATTATTGGCTTAGTTCATGGAATGGCAGTGGGATTGTGGGAGCAGCTGTGGAGTAAAGCAAGTGATAAAAGCCAAAATAACGTTGAGAATTTTGTATTCATTTTTTGGTATTCATTTGAATGATTGATCTTTTTCATGAAACATATTAATAGAAAAATTACATGAACAAACCCTCCAACCAATAACAGTGAGGAACAGTGTGAATTAAATAAAAAATTACAGCAGTTTTTCAAAATGAATTCTAAATATCTTCTGAATACATTACTTTATGTATTGTAGTTGAATAAATCACTGAATACATTTAAGGACAGGGTGTTCAGTATTCTGTAAAAGTATTTTGCCCAACTCTGATCATGTGTGGCTTTTTATAGAGGCATAACATCTGATATCATACAGGGAGATTCACTTGAAAGAGGCCCTGAATATTCTGTGATAACTCTTGCTAGAACAAAGCAATCTGAACAAAACAACGTGCAATGTGATCCTCAGTATATGGAGCTTTGAACAAGCCGGGATGCCCCTGTGTCGGAGCAATGAGGTAGGCACCGGACAGCCGTTGCAACATTTAACCTCCGTTTGCAACTTGCGGGTGCATACTCCTGCACCCCTTCATGTGTCTGGCAGAAAACAGAGACCACTTCCAGCATCGCATGTAAAGCAATCAATTACACATACGTCAAGGTATGTAGCGTATCTTTTTGGTTCAGATTACTTGCTATCGACAGATACTTGAGGATCACGTTTAGGTATCAGAAAGGAAAAAGTGCTATCAGTACAACCTTATTTAAAAGCTCAGTTACATTCATGTGTGGAAATGAAAGGATCTTGCTATAATTTGCATGAAATACAATCAATAACTTAACATTTTCTCAAACCCACAGTTTTTGTCATCACTTATCGTTACCACGATAAGTCAGTCAACCATCACTGTGCACCTACTGTTTGAAGCCGCATAACTAGGAGAGCAAAATGAATTGGAGAAAGAAATCTGTTCTGTTAAAAGCATGCCATCTTTTATTTAAGATATAAATTTAGGTAAAAATATTTAAGATGTTTTAAAAGCAAGAAACCTTGCCATTTGTCCATTGTGGCCAGTGGGCACTAAGGAATGAATGGATTTAAAGCCCTTCCTCCACATTCTTCAACTTGCTGATTCATCTTCTGCATTACTCAGGACATTCTGTGTTCCAGTGATGAACAACATGAGCATAGAAACCATGACAGGAAGTCACTGACACCCTCCAGTCACATTAGTTTTCACCATTCTCTTCTCCTGTCCCTACTTTGCATCTTAAGTTCTTGTGTTTGCTAAATCTGTTTCTGATGGTTTCTGTCAACTTATCAGGTTTCCCTCAGTCCAGCTGGAGCATGGTGCTAACTTCTTGTCTCAGTCCTGAGCTGCAGGTTCTTGTGAAGGCGTTTGGTTCTTGCGGTACTTGCACTGCACCCACACTCTGTACATGGTCAGCTGCTTTCCTCTGTTCACCTGGAGGCGCCGGTCCACCAGGTTCTGCACCTTCTCCAGTCCAGCTCCAACAAACAGCTCATGCAGCTCTTCTGAGAGGACAGGAAGGAAGAGAGAGAGTGAATAGTAGGTTTAAAAAAATGTTCTCAGTTTCAAATGTGTCACTGAAATAATAACAACTGATTTACCCAAATTACTTAAAGCTCCAGTGAGGAAGCTATCAGCACTAGTTTCAGCACTTCAATAACCGAGGTTTTTAAGTCACCCCAATAACCCACTCTCTGAAATGTACATAATAAGTATGCTTCAGAGTTACCCTGGCATGGCTGTGGTGCTGTTTCAGCATTTCCTCATTCAGACAATAAGTATAGGGCTGGTATTTCAGCTTAAGCAGAACTACACAGCCACATTTCAATCACAGTACACAATATGAAAAAACATGGACAGCAACATCTAGGTGGTTTGTCCAGTGCATGTGAAGACACTTTACCCTGAGTGAAAAAATAGACCCGTGTTCCATCTCCTCTGACGTAGAAATTTTCAGATAAGCACCTTCCTAAAACAGATAAAACAAAAACGTGTTCCACAGTTACTTCATCTGTTGTTGGTTAGTGGTCAAGATATGTTTGCATCTTAAGTTTTTGATTCTTTCGTTTTGTATGGGGACTACAAGGCTAAAGTAGCTAACAACTAATGGAAACCTATAGTCACCAGTTAGCATTTACATCAAGCTGTTCACAGCAATCTTAAGAATACTTGCCTGTGTGGTTTCTCACACTGCATGACATGAACAAAAGTATGAAGATGGCTGCTAATACTATTTCTTTTAGCTTTATTCCATTTTATAAATGTCTGTATGTCATACAGAAGAAAACTGATATTATCAAGCATCACAATAATTTATATAGGTGCAAATATTATGCAAATGATCATTGTTTTGTTCTCCTTCACATGCCACAAGATCTTTTTTCTTTTGATTGCTTCATTGTTGTGTCACTATTCTCTTTGCACAATGATTGTAATATACAATCTAGTTAAAAGATGTATGTTATATACTGCACTGACAGAATATCAACTAATTAACTACTCATACATACTTTGAACACTACTTCAAATGCTTGTTTCAGTCTGACAAAGAAGTGAACTCCAGGACAAGATCTACTCTCAGGTAGAGAGTAAAACAGACGAGCTGTTCATATCTCATATCTATTTCATATCTCTACAATGCTACTTCGTAATGATATTTTGTATCTACATTTGGATCATGATGATATTGTTTAATGTGACAATTCTGTAGATGATATTAACTGCAGACATTAGTTTTAATTTTACATTTTCATCCAAGCTTAAAGCACACAGTTTTGAGCTACTAGGTTTAAGAGTTTACATGATGCTAAACTGGTGGCTTTAAGGAAACAGTTTGCCAAAAAAATCTAATTTATATGATTTTCCACCAAGATTCATTTGGTTGTTTAGAACTTGATCTATGAGGCCAATGTTGCTAACAAAGAGTGGAAGTCAACAGTCACCAAAACAGTTTCCACAAATACCTGGCAAAATCTTCATATTTTTGCTTCAAAATATGTCAATAAGAAGAATTTGGTAAAATGGCACAAACAGACCGTTTTTACACATTTAAGACAAAACTGGAACTACATTATTATCTGCCATTCCTTTTAGCTTCCATTAGCTGATAGCTACTTTAGCTCCAGCACAAAGCTGGCAAAGTAATGCACTAGCACATGTGCTAATATGCATGTAAATGCAGTTACTGCACTCTAACCTTTTTTAAAACGAAGCTGGGCCATGTCGTAGCGTCCATAGTCCCGCAGTAAGAGAACTCCCCCTGGTTTGAGCAACCGAGCGAGTCTACTGATAGAACTCTGCATCCTGAGGCAGAGAGAGAGAGAGAGAGAGAGAGAGAGATATTATGAAGTTATTCTTTACTCACAGTTTCACATTTATGATTAACTTATCACTACGTAGAAGTTAAATAACACTAGCATAAACAACTATGGCTGTCACAGGTGATACACTTATCAACTCTATATCAACTCTCTCCATCCCACTCACTTGTCAGGATGCAGAGCGGAGAGGACGAATATAAGGACGATGACATCGAGGCTCTGCTCTGGCATTGGATACACATCCGTGACATCACTCAAGTCATGAACGAAGGCGTGACAGCGAGATGGGTCATACTCCGGATTAGACTGCAAGCCCATCAATAAAATCAAATACAAAATACAAAACCAATAAACAAAGTAACCAATTATCAGATTTATGCTATGCTCCCTCTCACCTTGACTAGGTCAACAGCTGTGCTGGAAAAATCACAGCAGTACACAAAAAGACCTGGATCACTAAAAGACACAAAGGAAAAGTAACATAACATGATGTATTTTTATGTATTTGTGGCACTGATCGTACTTCGTATACACTGTCAGAAAAAAAGGTATGAAACTGTCGCTGGTGCAATACCCCTCTTGTCACTGGGGTGGTACCCTCAAAGGTACATCTCAGTACCTTTAGTCAGTCAACATAATTGTACCGTAGTCCACTGAAATTATATTTTCAAAGTTGTATTGACTCCACACACCCCTTCTTGTCTCCAGGTGTATTATTTTAAAACATTAGGTTATGAAAAGATAGAAATCTATTTATTTCTAACAGTGTATGATAAGTGGACAGTGAGATGCATAGCCATTTACACCTTATATTTCCATGCTTCTTGGCAGAGTCTCCAATGACTGTTTATAATCGAATAATTTAATGACTGAAAGAAACAGTATTATTTACCTCAGCAATAAAACACTAACGTTCTGTCTTACTCACTTGTTGGTCTTGAGAATTGGGAAGACTGTATTGCCAACTCCACAGCCAACCTAAGACAACGGACAAGCATTCAATTGAAAAGGTTAGAAAATGATCTCACACAAATCTGTATGTATACATGCACAAACACACAGAGGCACAATGAGTATTAAACGGTTCACCTCCATAATACGATAGGAAGCTGAGGCTCCAGGAAACGCTGTTTCTTCTATGTGCAGAGCTGGGCTCTCTTCACCATTTATTTCCAGGTTTGATGCACTTTCTCTGGGTTCATTTGAAGTCTGCTCTGCTGAGCTGTTGGGTTCCTTATGCTGAGGGGCGAGCTCAGGGAACTCAGTGAAGAGCCAGTGGCGGTCCTTAAAGAAGCGGTTCTCATGGATAGTGTAGAAGGCATTCCAGTACTCGTTAGCTTTCCTGTCAAACTCTTCTGTTCAAAGGAAGCAAACAATTCTCAGAACAGAGCTGTGAGTTTAATGAACATGTCATGCTTAAAATAGCACACAAGAGAGATAAAAAAAAGATAAAATAGTCATTAAAAAAACCAACAAAATAATTTTGATATATTATGGATGCTGCAGATGTCAACCACAAGAGAAAGGTAAGTTACAGGGATGCATCTATACCATTTTTTCAGACTGAGTATAAGTACATGTATAATACTATGTACTAAGTAACCTACTTAGAATTAAGTAGTTAGTGTAACTGAGTGCAATATACCTTAACAGTTAAATCATTACAATCTAGCTGATTTTAAATGATGTAACTTAGCTGGCTATGCTATATTGTTCAGCTTTGATTGAGCTGCACAGCAGTGGAGAAGAGCACGTTTTATTCCATGTCAGAAAAGCACTTCTGTACAGATGTAAGTAATGTATGTCTCACAGTTTTAAACCCTAATCTGTCTGTTTCAACATCAGTCTCTGGAGCACAGTGACAGCAGGAATCACATCCGAGGAGCACACGTGTAGAGTTTTATGCCTGGAGTATTTTGTTTGGCTGGTTGAGCTGTAGTTGAAACGTCCTCTAAAGCCACACATACACTGTGCGATTTTAGAAATGTTGTTCTTTGGTGAGTCACACTGTACGTCTGAATACACAGCCCATCGCTTAGAGACCAAGCCTATGATATATATACTCGCAGCTGTTTCATTCAAAATAACAAGCTGTGAGCCGAGTGCTGAGGAAGGAGAAACTGAGCAGCACTGCACTGACGCTAAAGCAGGTGGTGATGTACATAGCAGGACAATAAAGTATCAATGCATTCTATGTATAGAATACATTCGTATTAATGTTTATACCTCACTATTCAGTTAAACAGAGTAAAGTTGGCACAGACGGCCTGGCAGGAAATCTCGACTCTTTCGTCTGTTTTTCTAGCTTTCATTTCTCCAACCATATTGGTTAAGTGGTTGTGATTGTGTGTTTAAATCACAATGTATTCCTGGTGGGAATACACCAAAGTGGAAAGTGAAGAGTGGCTTGAGTCATTTGTTCATTAGCACGGCAGTGTACATTCGGTTTACGTCATATAGCATCAGTGGGTATCGGAATGTTGGTATCAGTGAATTTTTATGAGTATGAGTAAATGAGCCCAGTGTCGGCCCAATACCCAATACCAGTACCGGTATCGATGCATCCCTAGTAAGATATGATCCAAACTGCAGAAATGTATTATATGTAAAGCTATCAATTATAATTGGTAACTGATGTTCCTTTGGTACTGAGATAACTTTCTTAGGCCCATAGAAATACTGAGTCAGGTTTGATTTAGTTGATAAAAGACTACCCACAAACCTTGTTTCTCTGCTGGTAGAGGCTGGTTGTTCTCCTGTACTTTCTTCTCAGCGGCCTCCTCCTGCTCCTTGGACCACTCCACATTATCCCTACCAGATCAGCAGAGAGCATAAAGACTGCTGAATACATTTGACATCATGGAAGATCTTGTTTGCTTCATTCAATAATAATAACTTAATTACATAGTGATTAAGTTATTATTAATGAACAGTGATTATTAATAACAAATGACATTTCATGTTCTTCTGAACAAATTATGTGCTGGTTTATATGATGTATTTCAAATGAATCTGATTAGATAAAAAAAATTAAGCCAATAATAACATGACCATTTGGTGGGTAAAATCACTGTTGGCTTCACTGTTTGTAGGCAACTTATGATTTTAATAAGGACTAAACTTAATATTTTATTATTTATTAACATTTTTTATTTCTGCATCATTAAATCTTTAAGATGTAAACAAAGTCTCAAAGAGTGCTCTGGTTAAAAATGTTCCATTCTAGAAAAACCTGACGAGTCCGATTATTTCACAGTAGTGGTGATAGGAACCAGACGTCTGGAGCTTTTAATGCCTCCAAAAGCTACCTCACAGAAATGTTTAACAAAAATGGTTACAAATATGCTGCCTGTGGCACTGTTTTACTATAGTTAAGATAATCTTTGGCCCAAACCTTTTTTAATCCATTTATGGCAAAAAGACAAATGCAGGGTGTTGCAAGGCAAAATAATACCTGAAGAAAACCTTTTTAAAGACATGTAGGTTCAGTGGTCATTCTGAAAAGCACGAAAATGCTTCTCAAAATAACCACTGTGTTGCAGACACCGCGACGCCTGGTTCCTATCAGCACTGTTTCTCTAGAATGGATCATTGACATCTAACCACTCTGAAGACTGTTTACAACTCAACTAGTGAGTTATGCAGAAGAGCTGAAAAAATTGTGGAACTTCCCTTTAAAGAACTGGAACTTATGACGGCGTTTTAGGGCCACTGTTAAGAATAAAGTCATGCTATTTCGAGGAAAAGAATTACGCATTAAAGTGCCATTAATACCAGGAAAGGTCGCAATATTGTGGCCAAAGGCTTTGCAAAGGGAAGGCAGCACCTCCTCGTGTTAAAATGAGGGGCGGTTATTAGCAACTGTTATTAGTGAAACAAACGGCTGAAACGGCTGAGCAGGAAACTGTGTTTATTTAGAATAAAGAGCCAGACGGACTCGGAGGAAACTGTCTGTCTGTCTGTTCTGTTGAAGGAGAATCGCAGGCGGTGACCGTCTACACGGCTATCAGGGCTACATCTCCATGCCATTCAAAGAGAGCATGAAGTTTCACGGACAGTGAGAATGATAATCAAAATGATCGATCCACAAAGAGCCAATAGTGTGTGGAACTCCGGCGCGCCAGCACAGCAACCGAGACCGCTACGCGTTATTGCAGCCCCCTACAGTTAGCCTACAGTTAATTTTTATTAACAGTGGCCCTAAAACGCCGTCGTAGGAACTGGGAAAGGGAAAATATGTGTGAAAATAGAAAAGCGAACAGAATGGAAGATTTCCTTTCCCATTTCCAAAAGCCTTTCCAGCTGTCCTGTGGCGCCCTGGACCCTCTGAGAGATATGAGGAGGGCTGAATTTGGTGATGTCTGAGCCACAGAGCTCAGGGAGAAAATGACTCACCCTCACATATCATTTTAAAACGTGCTCCAAAGAGAGATTAATAAAGTGTTCATTTTGTGGAAATAAGAGAAACTGCGCTCTCAGTAAAGCCTGGACATCTGAGCTTTAACAAGATACCCCGTCTCCTACCAGGCATTGTGCTGAAAGACCTGTCGGGGGTCTGTGAGGAAGCGAGTCCCGAACTGTGGTCGTTTTTGTCCGTCCTTGCAGTTCGGTCCGTCTGCGGACTCGCTCATTCTCTGCTCAGACACCGGCACACCGACAGCAGCGGGCGCCGCCATCGTGCTGCTGCTTCGTCTTCCTTGAAACGGATGGTGGCGGTTCACTGACCAGCTTGAGGAGCATTACTGCCCCCTACTGAAATGGAGAGGGGAGTGAAGCTTCAGGAGCGGAGGAGGTGACGGGTCACAGGTTGGAGAATGAGTGGGAAAGCTCTTAACGCTCAACATGGCGTCTGTTTACAAGTCCCGCTCTTAATGAAAATGAGCTTGTCAGCTTGCTGGTTAAGTAGCGGCAACAGCCCCCCTTGTTGAGGAGATATGCGCATGCGCATGCGCAGTAGCCAGAAGAAGCTAAAAAAAACATTTTTTTTGAGTGTTATTTGAGACAAACCTACGGAGCCCCGCTGGTGACATCCTGTATAAATAAAAATAATGCGTGGCCACGCGTGGGAACGAGATCCTAATGCATGGCCTCGACTTAGTAAGGCATGGGAACGAGATCATGGCTTACTTAGTCGTGGCCACACCTTAGGATCTCGTTCCCATGCTTTACTAAGCTGTGGCCACGACTTAATCATCTCATTCCCATGCCTTACTAAGTTGAAGGATGTCACCAGCGGGGCTCCGTACCAAACGATACAACCAGTTTATGATGTTTTTGTAAGATTTTATCACTGATTTGAAACATGTTTTTGAAGTGTTGAAGTGTTCCATTTTAGTGTGGATATGAAGTTTCCCTTTTGTGTGGCATTCGCTATACAGCGCAGGAGATTAGCAGTTCAACTGTCTCCCTACTTTGACAGTGTTGGCAGAGCCCTGTATCATATCCAAGCCCATATAAAGATAAGGCATTCACATTACCTTTATGAGCATCTGTTGCAGATGTTTGAGGAAGGCTCTGAGTTAAGCCAGAAATCCAGTTCTATAAAAAAAACACTTAATTAAATTGTTAATGTAAACTAAGTCGTTTATTCACTAATGCTGTTGGGGATAAGAACCAGACGTCTGAAGTGTTTAATGTCTGTGTAGCAGGGGTGGGAAACTCCGGTCCTGAAGGGCTGGATTCCTGCACAGTTTGGTGATTTTCATGCTTAAACATGGCTGATTCAACTCAGCAGTTAATTGGCAGTTTTAGTTTTTCTGTCAGAGCAGAGAAATTAGCAAACTGTGCTGGACTCCTTCCTGCAGCTCCACACCGCTGCCGTAAAAGCGAACTGTTACGTATATAAAATGATTACAGATACACTGACTGATACCTGAGACATTGTTCTGTGATAATTTTAACATAAAGCTTTTGAATAGTAAATAAAAAGGTAAATAAATAGGTAAAAAAATATTTTTTTGTTCTCCATTCAACTAACATGTAGGCAAAGCTGAGCAATTATTATATTAGGAACTCCATAAATGATAAAAATTATAATTTTTAATTAATTTTGTGCCAAGAGTTTCAAGTAAAGTGATAAAATCCACAAGCAAAATATGGAGTATCAAAATGTCAGAAATTAAATCAAACTATTTCTGCTTATTTTCACTCATTTGGGGATAAATTATTTATTACTCATTTTGCCAGGTTTTTTACATTTGCTGATTTTGCTGATACATTTTTCGCTTCTGATTTTTTTCTTTTGCTCCTCTCTTTTTGCACTTTTTAACTGGGGGCTTAGAAGAGGACGTTCACCTGCTCTTTCTATTGGTCAACTGATTTGGAGTGTCAGGTCTTCTGAACACGTAGCCACTGAGCTTGAACCACCTCCAGCATGGCGGAACACGTCATACTGAGTGCTGCTATGAGTGCAGCGTTGTATTGGCGCATCTGACTCTATGAGCACTGTTTGTCATATTGTTTTAAATTATTAATGTAACATGTTCATGGGTCCTGTGCCAGCCTGTCTAAAAAGATATAACTGTTATTTTGGGCATTGAAAAAAAAAACGTAGTTGTTTATGAATGAACAAAGCTGTACCACCTTTTGAGTTTTAAAATGTCCTATAGGGCTAACTAGCCTAGCAGTGTCCTATAGGGCTAACTAGGAGAGCCATAATGGAACTAAACTGCTGATTATCTGAATATCTGATGTTAGTTCACTGCACTCCAGTGATTTGGAGCAGCAGCATTCTGTAAATGAAATCTTTTTTGAAAAATTAAGTTTGATTTAACATTTTTATACATAACATTTTATATTTTGTGGATTTTATAATTTTATTTGAAATTTTTGGCACAAAATTATCTCTATAAGCCTTACTTTACAGGTTTTCTCAATACATTGAAAATATACCATTCAGTTTTGTTTCTGTTTTAATATCTTTCTGAAAAATAAAAATCTATAGATTGTTTACATACGAAAGCCCTGAAGGGTAAGATTAAAGTCTGTTCCTGAGTCTGCATTCAGCATTCATATATGGAAAAAATGTGGAAAAATTGCCTAACACTCAACATGTTACACCAGCAGGGGGCTGCTGTTTGTTTGTTTTTTTCCCCCTGACCTCAACCACAAGGGCAATTCAGGTCAGTTCAAATCTAAAGCTGGTTATTTTTTTTTAAAAATAAAAAATTAAAATTTTAAAAGTAGTTTTTTAAAATTAGAGTTTATTCAGAAATGTATTCAGTGTGAGGAAAAACACATTGCGTCCATTAGGCCTAAAACAATGAAATTACCAGGACCACTGTACAAAAAAGCAAAAAAGGGAGAAAGATCAACAGTTTGGCTTTGGCTGAGGGAAAAGGCACTTTAAGTTTAATCTAACACACTGCTAGATTCCATTAGTTTACCTAGAAGTCATTAATGGGAATATAAGGAATTGACTGGGTTTGGTTCTCTGGCTGACGTTTCCACATTTTCATGAATGACTGAGTCTCCAGCACCGAGCAGTCTGGTTTCCTACAGGGTCCAACAGAATCTCAACCAGTGCTGCCATGGCAACAAAAGTTTTGGAACTCTAGAAGCAGTCACATGATGTTGTATCTATGACAACCAAAGTAACCAGAACCAAGAATGAAACATGACGTTTACATGAGCACTGTGCTGCAGCACAACTCCATCACTAAAGTGCATCAAATATTTCTAATTTTCTCAGAATAATCAGCCACTGCAACTGTACATAGTGCATGTACGCATTATTTTCTCAACGTTCATTAGTTTGGAGATCAAACCCGAGGCTGCAACGTCATCAGAAAAGCTTATAAGCCTTGTTGCTCTTGCAGGTTGCTGTTGGGTCAGGTGTTCTCCTGAGCTGCGGTGACCATCTGTAGCAGTGCAATGACAACTGCTACAGATGTTCCGTTTCATTCTCCCATGGCTCGTTAAAGTTATATCTAATTTGCATTTATGTTTGGGTGCTTTGCTCAAAATAATCCCAGGAATAAAATAAATTGAAAAAGACTATATCCACATTCTCAAGTGATTCATGGTTGCACTCAGCACAGTTTAGCATTACAGCAAAATCACAAGTCTGACCCCTCACCACCTCCTCATCATGCCAGCAATTCTTCAGTAACAGTGATATTTCTGTGTGATTGGTGGAGTGTCACTGAGCTGAGTGATTGTTTGTGCTGGAGGTGTTACATTCTTATGTGTTGCCACTGTAGGTCACATTTGTAAAGGTGGTGGTAGCTCCTCGATATAACGGGTTATTGGCCTGAAAAAGAACAGATGATGCTCTTGATGAAAAACAGTGTAAAACAGCAATGCAAAGTTTCATATGTTTTTACCTAACTAGCTGTAAGTATGTCTTTCTCCTCTAGATGTCACTAGATGTACATGTGTGAGATGCAGTTTGCTTGTTTACATCCATCCAAAGTGTCCAGTTGATTAAACACCTCAGCACTTCCACCTTCAGTTTACAACTTTTAGGATTTAAAGGAATGGTTTGGTGAAAAATCCTCATTTTTTTTACCTTACTTTCTTAACTTACCCCAGATGTATCGATCAAGCAAGATATATTTGGTGTCCAAATTATGCTTCTCTAGTTTAGCACTGCACATTTGAGCCTAACAATGCTAACAAACACAAGAAATCAATAGACACCCAAATCTTTTCTGTAAATCTATCCCCAAAACTGCTCTCTACCTGCTCAAACTACATCCAGCTCTTAATTCATTAAGATTATTTATTGTGAACTATAAAAATGATCAGAACTTCACTGTGTAGCTCAATGCCGTGGTGATATCTTCAGTTTGAAAATTCATGGACATAATCTGTAACATGACATGTGTGCATACAAAGAGGAATTGAACAGGGCCAGATCATTCCATGGATTTTGTGGGTGCCTGCCAGGGGCCCAAACTACAAGGGGCCCCACATGCAATAATGAGAAAATCTAAACAGCTATTTTGACTCATTGTAGAATCTTTACTAGCTGCATCATCCTCATTGGTAGTGATCTTCGAAGCGTCTACTTCTGCACGTAAAGTCATCAGAGGTATGATATAAATGAAAAAAATTCCACACCTACTGTGGTTGTGTGCTTTACTTATGGTAGACGCGCTTCTTAATGCATAAGCAATCTTCAATCTTGCTATTGTTTCATGTTAATTGGAAAAAATATGCACTTAAAGCAGTGATGTGCCCAATACTGCGGTTAGTATGCCACTGCCATGGTGCTGCACAGCCCTCATGTAACCTATGGTAATATCATAAAAACTTCCCTGACCACCAAAAAAGGTAACCAGGTACCCGAAGGCAGATTCTGTGGGGGAGTTGAAATTGGGCACAGGATCTGCTGCCTAAATTGAATTTCAAGCACATTGAATTGAATTCAGAACCATCTGCCAACTGTGTTTGCACACTGTGGAATTAGACCTCCGCATTTAACCCATCTGGGCAGTGAAACACCCACATACATGCACACTAATGAACACACACACTAGGGGGCAGTGAGCACACTTGCCCGGGCAGCCATAACCACGGCGCCCGGGGAGCGATTGGGGGTTAGGTGCCTTGCTCAAGCGTACTTCAGTCATGGACTGTCAGCCGAAGGGATCAAACCGACAGCTTTCCGGTCACAGGGCTGGTTCCCTAACCTCCAGCCCACGACTGCCTAAATGCCCACAGCATTCAGCTAAACAGTGTTTTTTTCATTTTAATAGTTTACAGTAGGTTATACCATGTGCTACAACACACTGACAAGTCTTTCCAACCTTAATGAGACCTGAATATGGTTTGAACAGTTTTGAGGATGTCTTTATGGAAAAGATTTGGGTGTCTATTAACTTCTAGTGATTATTAACAAAGCAGCTCCAGCACTAAACTGAAGAAGCTTGACTGATTGACTACGTCTGGACTAAGTGATTTTTTTGCCAAATTATATAGAGATATGTATATATATGTTTGTGTGGTTTTGTCTCACCGCTTCCCACTTGGCCT